CGCTGACTGACATAGAACCCAACCAATCAGAACCAAATTGGCTGGCAGGGGAGGGCAGTTGGGGGCGAGATCAGGCCAGCAGGGGAGGGGAGTTAGGGGCAATCAGGCATGAAGGCAGAGGCAGTTAGGGATGATCAGGCAGGCAGGCAGGTGAGTGGTTAGGAGCCAGTGGTCCAAGATTGCAAGAGCGATGTCTGACCACCGGTTTAGGCCCGATCCCTGTGGTTGGACATCCCCCAAGGGTCCCCGATTGGAGAGGGTGCAGGCTGGGCTGAGGGAACCTCCCCCCCCCCCTCCGTGCATGAATTTTATGCACCGGGCCACTAGTCCTATATAATAAAAGGCTAATATGCAAATAGACTAAACAGTGGAACAACGGAACAACCAGTCGCTATGATGTGCACTGACCACCAGGGGGCATGCGTGGAACATGGCAGGTGTCGGCAGCAGGCGGCAGAGCGTGGAACATGGCGGGTATCAGCTGTGGCGGGATGGTGGAGCAGGTGAACAGGGGCACCAGACCATGGTGGGGCACTGGTTTCTGCCATTGGGGCAAGCCTCTGGTGGTTACTGAAAATTCTTTGCTCCCATGCACCATGGTTCTGCTCAGCACTCACACCTGCTGCCGGCACCGGCCCCACTTGCACCTGCTGCCTGAGCCAGAGCCACCACTGGCACCCACTGCCAGCACCCAGCACTGGCCCTGATCGCTCAGCACTGGCAGTGGGTGTGAGCGGTGGCTGCTGGCCCTGATCGCTCCTCAAGGCTTCTCCACCTCCCCCTCCTCCTGAGGGGCAATCAGGCTGGCAGCCTCCATTCACACCCACTGATAGTGCCAGCCCAACTCGCACCTGCTGTTGGCTCTGGCCCGAATCGCTCCGTGCTCAGTATGTGGGAGCGGTGGCGGTGGGAGCGGGGCTGCTGGCAGACAGGGGACCAGGAGCTGCGGCGGGAGGGGCCGAAACCTACCCCTGTGCCCACCACAACCTCACAGCCCACATTTTCTTTCAAGGTGCACGAATTCATGCACTGGGCCCCTAGTAATAAAATAAAAAGAATGTAGTCTTTGTCCTTGGTTCCTGGCACAGAGTTCCTAAAACCTTTGGGACCTCCTGAGTATAGGAGTGTCCTTTGTTATTCATGATGAGCCCTTTTT